GAAAACAAATACTAATAATAAAAATAAATAAAAATAAAAAAAGAATTAAATTTAGTGAGTGCGCGAGCATGTTTTCGACACCGCCATCTTTGGCGATTTTTCATTTTTTTTTGGCATAGCTCAATGCCCTGAAAATTTACAGATCTGTACTTTACATAATACTAAACCCACTAAAAAAGTTTCAAAGGCGATTTTTAATTCTTATTTGGATTAGTGAAATGACTTCAACATTTACAGGCATGTACCTCACGTCAAAGAGAACTCACAAAAAACAATTCAGAAAAAACACATTATTTTTAGGCCCCGAAATATTTTTTGGCGGGGGCCGAACGTCGCCGGGTTCGGACCCCGTACGAAACCCCGAACGCCTGTACGTACGGAGGTCGACCCGGGGACCTCCGTACGTACGGGCAGGTGACCCTGGAAACTGACTTCCCCTTAATCTCTTGGTTATGGGACTCGAAACATGGTACTATGTTGTAGAAACAACCAACACACACAAATTAAAAAAAAAAAAAAATTAAAACGCCACAATAGCACATACGGCAATATAATCGATCATGCCAAGCCGTAAAACATCACTTGTGCAAAACGATAGCATGAAAAAAAGTAACCACATATGACACTCCCATACTGTGACAAAACGTTTGTGACAATATGACCACTACGACACAAAGACCTCCATAACCAGACCACGATACGACACCACAGACAAGACAAAATAGAAACATGGACCCAGCGAAGGTATGTAGCACATACTACACTCTTTGTGTGCAAGTGTACACACACACCGCTATACAATGCGAAACCCAGACACCCGAAAGCAAAATCCCTTGGCACGTTATCTTGTACACACAAACTCAGGTAACCCCTCTGCTACCCCCCACGAACTCTATCCCAGCCCTCGCTCTCCCCATGGCAAGGTGCATACCAAATACGATCCTCACAAACCTACTCGTAAATCTTATTATTTAAAAAAGAAAGAGACCTACCCCACCCGGACCCCCATTACGTGGAAACTAGGAGCAAAACACACACACACACACATAGCATTAAAAAAAAAAAACTTAAAAAAAAAAAATAATAATAATAATTATAATAATTATACAATTACAGTCATGGTTGCCGGCGTTCGGGACGGGCTGAACGCCCGAACCCGAACGCCCGAACGTACGGGACCTCTTCGGAAGGCGTTCGGCCGTTCGGGCCGAACGCGGACCAAAAAAAAAAACAAAAACAAAGTTTTCAAACAATTCCAAAAAATACATATGTTATGGAAATAAATAAACTAAACAATATTTACCTGGGCACTATATCCAAATTTTTTACCAAATTTGAATTAAAATCAAATACAGAAAATAAAAAAAGAATTAAATGAGTGTGTGCCAGCACCTTTTCGACACCGCCATCTTTGCCGATTTTT